AGCTTAAGAACAAGTCTGAGATTGATCTGGTCTTAACTGACTATCCAGAATTTATGGGAATAATCTTCGGATTGAATACTTAAAATGCCAAAAAATTCAGGTTTTCAATATTCTCACTTTGTGCGCGTCGGCCTTCACTGTTGAACCGGATGGTCTTCAGTTCTTGGCCTCTCACAGTTTCGACTTCAATCGTTTGATTAAACTGGGTATCCCTTATGCAAGTCATGATTGCGGTGTGTCTGGAAAGGTAACTTTTTATTTTCTCATAGATTCATTCAAAATTTTCAGTTCTTCCTCAGCATTCAGCTTCTTGCAGTCAACGATTTTCAAATATAATTCATCGTTGTTGCAGAATGGTTTTTCTGGGGGATACGGAACATATTCGCAGAAAGATTCGTTAAGAATCCTGTGGAATGAAATATTGTGCTCATCGATACCGATTGCCTTTCATAATGGCTTGATCGATTTGGCGTTCATATACGAACATTTCTATTCGACGCTTCCCGAAACTTTGGACGAATTCGTCGCTAATTTATCGGATTGGTTCATATTGGACGAAGATGAAAGCAGACCTGGATTATACGACTCGAAGTATTTAGCCGAATTTGTGGCGCGGATGAATGCTTCGTATTTGGAATATGTTTTCAGGAAATGGTGAGTTGGAGAGAAGTTTTTTGTGAGATGAAAATTTTCGATAGTGCAGATAGGCGTTAATGTTTTTGAGGTGATATCATTGTCGGTGTTATTATTGTTATTACGATTACTGTTATTGCATTCGTTTTTAGTGCTATTGTCTTACTATGAATCTCATCATCATAACACTTGAAATGAAGCGTGAACAGCCGATTTTGAAGTTGATTTTTGACAAATCACTTTCAATTCTGTTAACAAGATTGTACGATTGCTTCCGTTTGATAGATTTGATTCGTTTAAATTTTTGATTTATTCGTATGAATTTCGATTCATTCAATTTATTCGTATAAATTTCGATAAAATTCCATTTCCCTTGATAATCTAAGAATTAGTGTATCACCGAATTTCATCTGCATATTGGAATGAAACAGCTTCTAAGGTCGTGGAGAATGATTTTGAAGTTGATTTTTGACAGTTCACTTAAATCTATCAGATTTTGTTTTGCAGTCAGCGAGACAATGCAGTCGAAGCTAGTTCATCACGTGCCTATATCAGTGTTGATTTCGATTCGGATTTGTTGCGAACAAATTTCATCAACAGCGTCAACAACGACCAGAAATCATTCGAACAAATCAACTGTGAACTACCTGAAGAGTTCAGAGAACCGGTGATTTTACCGAGAAGTGTGAACGATAAAGATGCGCAAATGATATGTAAGAAGTATGCGGCGTTCGGTTTCTGCCCTTCGAATCGAAGATGTTATCTGTCGCATAATATTGATTTGGTTTTGGATTTGGAAGAGCAGAAACAATCAAAGGTTCGTTTTGTTGAAGTTTAATCGTTTGATCGGGAATTCGCTTCTGGTTTTATTTTTCTTCTCGATGGATGTCGGATCGGATAACATAAAGTTAGCAGATATTATGTATGAATATTTGAATATCTCGATGTATTTTGGATAAAGTTAGAAATATGTTATTGATGCTGTTCTAGGAAAGATTAAAGTTTTAGTGAATAATTTGCAGTAGTTCATTCTACCCAGGGTGGTATTTAAAAGCTAACTATAGGTTTAATGATATGTTAAAACATGGTGATAATTGAAACGATAAGAATAATGAAGACTGCAGTGTGATGATTACTGCAGGTAAGGGAACGACGTAAACGACGTTATGATTACGCATCAAAACTGTTGCGGTCAGAAGAGGCAGAGCCAAAAGGAGCAGAGTCTACATCGTGCTCAAGAAAGTGTTCAGAAAATGAGGATGACGCAACAAATGGTCATCTAAATGGGTCGATGGAGAATGAAATTGAAATGAATAACACAGAAGCACAGCTTAGATCGTTCAATGATTTCAAACGAGCTGCCATTGGTTTGTATTTCGTAAAATGGTTTCTCTCGAGCAGTTTCCTTCACTTTCGCACAATATTAAGCAGTGTTGTTAGCTGTTTGGGAAGTTACTGATTGTATTGCGGCGATTAATTGATTTATTCTAATGTCATCATAAGCAGTTGCATATTTATTCTATATGATCAATGGCCTGGTCAAGGAAGTAATTTTTTATTCTAGTTGTGACTAGGAGAGAGATTGTAGGGTCAACTTTTACTATTGAATGATACATTTTTGAGACTGGTACATTTTTTTGCTTAATAAAGGTCAGTGTTTGAATTTTTAGGATGTCATCGAGCAGGGATGGATTCATTCATGACTGGATTCGCGGTTATCTTCATGTCTCGAATGGCTATCCTGAGGACTGGTGAATTGACTCCGGAACACGGAAATCGTTTGCCCTTAAGAGGTAAACCGATACCGTTGTTAATCCACAGAAGTGAATTCACAATGCCAACTGCAGAACATTGCACCCAATGGGAACGTATCTCAATCGAACGTGAAAGGAGAAGGCATTTGAAAAATATTCAATTGAATGGTATTTCATAATGAATCAATTGTCTTATTGAATGCAGTTGTTTTGTTTTATTTTCTTTTTTGAAATTTTGACTTGAACGATGGAAATTTCTACGAAAAATGAGGGAGCTCGTTATTTTATTGATGAGAAGTAAAGGTGGGTTTGTTTCTATGTGGATGAATGATTTCTGAATATGTTAGAACAGTTTCAAATTGATGTTGTTGAAGTTATTATGTTGATTTTCTTGTAGCGGGTTTGAATCCCGCTGACGGGGCAAAGTCTTGCTCGAAAACGATCGGTGTACCAATGGCATTAATGTCTCCTTCTTGTTACTTGTTGTTGTTTGTATCATTGCGAATGTTTTCATTGCATTGTTGCTATTAATTGTTACCTCGATATTATTATTATTGTTGACGAAATCGTGTTGATTCTATTATCCGAGTTGTCAGTTTTAATATTCTATTATATCATTATTGTTACGTTGGTCTCGATATTGTTGCGGTTATATTTCACTTTTGCTTTGAAATGTTTTTGTTATCGCTTTGCAAAATGTTTTGTATTAATTTCAATGGAAAAGAAATTCACATGTACGATTACAAAGTAAAATGATGTATAAAATCGCAAATGCATTGAAGGTTAATTGTATTTGTTTGCTTCAATTTCATTAATATACCTGTCTGGATTAGCGGGTATGGCTTTTTTGATAATTAACGAATTGGAAAGGGAACTGAGCAGTTGCTGGCGGGTAAAACTGAAGGAATATCATATGTCGGATGATAAGTGATAAAGTTTTTGTTTCGTCAAAATATAAGTTTAAAGAAGAAGTTAGACAATTTTAATATTAAATATCATCAACCGATTGGCAGATAATACTGGAAAGTGGAATTTTAATTAGAATGGTGAAAAATTTTTGTGGGAGCAATAATTTTTATCATTTTGATCAAAATTCCACTTTGCATCGCGGGTTCGATTCCCGTTCGCGGAGGAAAGTTTTGCTCGGAATCGAGTGGTGTACCAATATCATTAATGTGGGAACAATATTCTTGATAGCACTAGTGGTTACTGATAATGATAAGAAGTGACCGCGGAATGTGTTCATCTTCTAACAAGACGGAAGAAATGTTATTGCTTTGATGAAATCCACAAAAGTCATTCGTTGATATATAAAATCGTTTATCACAGTTCATTCAACATAAAGAAAATTTCAAACAATATAAATGTTCGAACAATATAAATATAAAACAAAGCAACAAATTAAGGGTTCCTTTGCTACTTTCAACTCTTTAATCAATTGTTTACAATTTCCATAAATTTATGTGACATTTAATTATTCAAGTGAAACATTTCAATATAAATCTATCAACTTTACAATTTCTTAGCTTTATAATCACAATCGCATTTATTTGACAGACGAAAAGTTGTCGAATAAAACAAGACTAACAGATATTCGGGTAATTTATATCATTATCAATCAGTAATATATTCATTAAGTACGCGTATTATACAAGAAAATATTCAACTTAAGGCATCTGCAACAAAAAAAAAGAATCTTTTCAAACTGTCAGAACATTTCTCCTGAATCCTTTCACTAAATAGACGTCAAATTCTATTCTGAGATTTCCTTCTCACGATCAGTTGAAATCCTCTGCGGACAATTACAATAGGTTCCATAAATGGGGAAGTTCAATTTCGCGATGTTAAATTCGAAACGCCCAACCATACACACTCGAAAATCATACAGTTGCATGCAGCAAATTGTTTTCATTCCAGTGTGACCATTAGAACACCGGAATGAAATTGAAATAATTCCCATTGTTTTCGTAAAAACAATAGTAAGAGAGCAGCTGCTGATGATAACTCACAACNCGATATGTCGATTCACATCAGGTCGACAACGAATGCATTCACAATACGTAAGCAAATGAGAATTTCATATAATTTCACCAACCAAAAAACTTTCAAAAAATAATTAACATGTGAAACTTATTGATGCAATCAATTACTGACGAATACTCCAAATAAATTACAAAATAAAAATCTACTCAAACAATACAAAATACCTTAGATGATTTATATCTACAGAACCTTCTCAAAAAAAATTTCATTATAAAACACAAGTATCAAGGCGCTCTTCCACGGGAAAAGAATACAAAATAAATAAGATATCATCATATGATACTTCTCATTACTCACTTTACAATGATCATACCATAAAGATAACAATATAATTATGATAACAATGATAACTTCACAATGTTACAGAATCTGAAAAATCACAAAATTTTCGCTCAAATTTTATTTCTCAATCGAACACGTACGTATCAATTACCCACTAACTGTTTCACATCCCATATCATAATAACACGATCTAAACCAACCGTTACCAAACGCCCTAATGTCTCCTGTAAATGCATACATACGACTCCTTGACGCAACTCGCTGATCACGGCCAGTGGTGTTAGACTGCAAATGGAATACAAAAATTAAACTTAACGAATAGCAGCAGGTAATCAGATAATAGATACAAGCCGGATCATAGCCTGGCTCAGGCTTACAACATTAATGATATTGGTACACCACTC